ATGTAAGTGAAACAAGTAACAGGCTCTGGTCGGGAATACCCTGAACCCTCTCCTCTTCTACTAACACCAAATTCAGCTCGCGCTATGCGCTCGTTTGCTGCAGCAGTTTGCAGCAAACGCCGCTACTCAACAGTCACACCAAGAAATCAGTCTTAATAAGAAAAAAAAAAAACGGATTAAAATAGCAGCACAGAAAACAATACAATCGCAATTATCATGCTGTTGGTAGAATTCAATAAACCCCTGCATGAATGTGTGTGTACATGTACATATACAGAGATTCTTGCAACTAGCTGCCGCAAAACACATTTTCTTTAATAACTTTTGTGTTTCTTCACCGATCTTGATAAAATTTTTAGCAGTAGATTTTATTGTACTGTAGAATATTCGCGTATTCTCAAAATGACAATTGCATTAATTGTGCCTCAAATTGGTGGGAAATACAAATTGGAGTTTTTACTTGATTTATAGGTATGTGGTGATAGCTGGGTGTTGGCGACAGCTATAAAATGAAAGATGCTTGATATATATACATATATACTATGCTAGAAGCTACATGTTAAGTATAGTGACTCTAGCGTTTAAAACCTAAAGATTTGCTCACAAAACACGTTTCGATATCGATTATCGGAAAACATACCAAATTTCAGTCTCTAGCTCTTATGGTTCTGAGATCCTTGCGTTCATACATACGGACGGACGGACGGACGGACAGACAGACGGACATGGCTAGATCGACTCGGCTATTTATGCTGATCAAGAATATATGTATATACTTTATGGGGTCGGAGATGCTTCCTTCTGCCTATTTCATACATTTGCACAAATACAGAATACCCTTTTTACCCATTTTCAATGGGTTCAGGGTATAATAAGTAAAATTTTATAATTCAACTTGTTTGTTAGTGTATATATACAAAATGCCGTTTACTAAGCAAAAAGAAGATCAACAAAGAAACGTAAGTAGATGGTGCTAGATTTGCTATGCTTCACGAGATCTACATGTGTAGTAAATGCATAAATATAAGTACTATTTTTCTCGCAAATCACAGAATAGTCCCCTTGGCCCTTGTCTTAAGAAAAACGGTGCATAGGAGACATGCGCATACACCTACGAGATAATTGCAGCTGCGCAGGTAAACGGTCAGCTTACAGATAAGAAAACATAGGGCGGATTAGGTAGGGGTGCGATTTTTTCTTTGTCGCAGCTTGAGACAAAAACAAACTGACGTCTGTTCCGATTCTAATAAAATTCGCGCCGCAGGACATCCGCAAATGTGTGTGTCCTTGCCTCTTTGTGAAATTATTCTGTATATATGAATGTAATACCCTCTGCTTGCCTAAAAACTCCATGTCAATGTGGATTTTATTTCTAGAATTTTGGACAATCTTTCCTAATTTAATTTTAAGCATTGAAATCGGAAGCTCCCGACCGCTCTATACGCATTTCACAGCTCAGACATTCCATATAATGAGTATTAATTCCATATCTGTAAGGTAAGTGAATTTATAAAAGAAGTGACTTTATAAGGAACAGAAACTATGCGGCAGTTGGTTTGCTTGATTTTCAAGGAAAGATTCAAATGTGTTTGACATAGGGAATTGGAAAATATTCGAGGCATGCATTGCACAAACCGATATGCTCTTTCACTTGAAGCATAGAGTATAAATGTCGAATCCTTACAAGTTGGTTTTCCATTTCCTGCTGCGTCAGCAATTTTCAACTACCTTTCACGAAGGGTCATACTTACATAGGTATTAACACGGTGTCCTTTTGTCTCATGCTGCGAAACGGTTTTGACGAAAATTCGAAGAACAAACTTCCAGTTCGTTGGATATTTTGCTGCCGCATCGCGATATTTACGTTTAGTTTATTTTTAGCTGAGAAAAATAGTAATTGATTAAAGTGTACTTATTATATAAACAAAAGATAAAGCAGTGCAAACTATAGTGTACCATTACTCAAGGACAATAGTAATATGTAGAAGAATCTGATTTTAGTAGTGCTCATAAATTTATTCTAATATATATCATTGAACAGAGAAAAATTTGACTACCACGAATGTATCATTTCTGCGTACTTAAAACATTCAATAAAACTTCCAAAACCTTAAATTAGCTATTGTACGAGACAAAATACGGTGTATACGGCTGATTTACTTAATTTTTTGTTAAGCCATATTACAAAAATATGCTTTACATCTTTTTCTGCAGTTTTTAAAATTAAATTTTGTTTTCTTAATTTTGATTTCATCTGTTGTTCAGTAAATTACATTAGTCGGAGCCTATATTACATCTCAAGCTTTTTAAACTTGTATACCCTGAACCCATTCAAAATGGGTAAAAAGGGTATAATGCAAATGTATGTAACAGGCAGAAGGAAGCATCTCCGACCCCTTAAAGTATATACATATATTCTTGATCAGCAGCAATAGCCGAGTCGATCGAGCCATGTCCGTCTGTTTGTCTGTCTGTCCGTCCGTCCGTATGTATGAACGCAAGGATCTCAGAACCTATAAGAGCTAAAGATTTGAGCTGTAGGTCCTCCTAGTGCTTGCGCAGATCGAGTTTGTTTCTGATATTCGATAACTTGCCCCGTTTCCAAGTAATCGATAAAAATCGATATCGAAATCAGCTAGAGTCGCCAAACTTGCCTATAGAATAGTATATATATATCAAGTATCTTTCATTTTATACCTACCGCCACCTCCCCGCTACTACCCAATAGCTATAAATCAAGTAAATAAACCAATTTATGCTGCCCGACAATATAAGCCACCATTTAAATGCAATTGACTTTTTTGATAATACACGAATACTCTATAGTACAATAAGATGTAGAAACACAGAAGTTGTTAAATAAAGCATGTTATTACTGGCCTCGATTTGGGGCAGCAATCGCATATTCCAAGAATTTATGTATACATGTACACACACACATTCATACGCGTCTGCTTTGAATTCTATCAACAACATTGCAATTGCGATTGTATTGTTTTATGTGCTGCTATTTTAATTCGTTTTTTCTCGTTAAGACTTAATTGTTGGTGTGGTTGGTGAGTAGAGGCGGCGGCAAGTGGTGCGATTAGTTGCGAGTTCGAACCCTGCCAAGGGAACCATTTTTTTTTGTTTTAATTTTTCTTTATTACTACTAAAATAAACGAGCGCGTAGCGCGAGCTGCATTTGGTGTTCGAAGAAAAGGGTTCAGAGTTTTCCTTAGTCGGGAGCCTTGGATAAAACCTCTTACTTGTTTTGGGTTGGGGTTTTCAATATAGGTTATGTTTTAACGGACCTATTCAGTTTCATGACAGCATTAAAACTAAGAGATTAGTTTGCATGAAAAACTACAGAAGGACATGGGTATATTTACTTGGCTGATCATGCTGATCAATTTTAAGACAACTATAATGAACTCTGTGAGGAAATATAAATGTAAGATAAATGTAAACCAAGCACAGAGCTGCCGTCTACACTACGATTGCTTAGCAATACATTTTTTGACACTATGAGAAATTTAAATGCTAAAGCGCAAATTGATTTTATCCCAATCGGATGGGGGACCTCTGGGTACGCACAGAAAATTAATCTTAAAATCAAATTTATTGATTTCATGGATATGGATGTAGTTATTGATTTTATGTAAACTTGACCTGCGTGTAAATTTTACGCTCCAAATTTATTAGACAGAAAGAACGCAAGGAAAAAGTTATGAAGGGGTTTTTAGAAATTCAACCCGAAAGCATAAAAAAAAATGGCGAAAAACGCTTGTATGAAGCTTTTCTGTTTACCATCTGATCGCCCTCAAACTCATTTTCCTTCCAATTCATATGAGGGGGATTTCACGGTTATTGGAAAATCGAGTCTCCCTTCGGGTGAATGGGGGTCAAAGATTTGGTGGGTGACGTTTTGCGCTCAAATTCTTTTCCATAGATCTTTACAAAAAATCTTTTGAGACGTGTTTCACACTTTTTGCAGAATCCAAGCATCCTCCGTGGAAATGTGATTAAACGATTTTGTGGGCGAAGTATTAAGTTTTATCTGATTTATTTCAAACTTTTATTGATATGTAACGATTTTTTTTATAAATGTTTATTATATTGAATCAAATAAAGCATACATTTTTATTACAACACAGTTGGCTTAGGTGATATATCGCCAAGCCTGGTTGGGTCCTCATTATTATTATTTTTTTATTAACGATTTTATAAATTAAAAAATTGGCAAAAAATGGTTACATGAAAGTTTTTTGATTTCCATTCAAATTACTTTTTAATGATCTTTGTGAAAATTCACGTATAAGTGTTTCACACTTTTTACAAAATCCACTATTCTTGGATGATAAACGTGGATAAAATGTTGAATGGGCAATTTTTCGGGTGGAAACTCACTGGCAAAGATTCTTAATAAAACTCATTTAAGACGTGGATTACACTTCGCATAATTCGCCCTTTTTGCATGATAAATGAAGGTAATAAGGCCAAAGTTTTAAGTTTTGCCCAATCAGACTCAAACATAATTTCAAAGCCCCTCATAAAAATTAAATGAATACGTGTTTTAGTGATTTAAGATATTCGACCCACAGCTTGTGAGAATTTTTTTTTATTTTTTCGCAAAGATCATCATTTTAAAATGGAAAATGTCCAAAGTAATAAACGAGCGTTTATTTTTCGGCTTCAAGATTCTCACCACAAACATGGGCGGAAACCGTTGATTCCAATTTTGGTTATTTTTTCAAAGCACTTTAAACATTCTTTTAAATAGAAACGAAGAATAATATGGTACGGATAGATTTGAATTGCTGTGTACCTTATCGAATGTTTGGAAACGGGGCAAAACAGACATTATCGGCTAGATTGACTCGGTTATTGATGCTGATCAAAAATATATATGCCTTGTGCACAACACCATTATACTTTTTTTTTTTACCTATCTTCAATGGGCCCATACAGAATGATCAAAAAAATATATTTAATAAATCTTTATTGACATCGCTATTTAGCCGACTCGCTTAATATCTCCGGAAACCTTGCTTCGAAAACGGCGTGGAAATTCATACGAAATGGCAACATTGCTGGCTAGTATGCTTATTGGAGCTGGCCATCCCGCTATGGTTGTGTCTGGAGTAGCACGACAAGAGACGGTGCTTAATGATCAACACAATGTGCCTTACCCGTATCCAATTATTAAACAAGAGTCCGTTGAACAGGAACAGGTGAAGGATGAACAGAGTGTTAAGTACAAATTGCGTGCCTTGCCGGATTTGGAGAGTCATCTAGAGGAAGAAATGGCCGAGGTGCACAAGCGTAGAGCCGAAGAGCAGAGTCGGTTGGAAGAGGACCTTTTGCGAAAGCAAATGGCGGTAACAATTGCAGACATTTACTTTTACATTCATAATGTGTATTGAATTTTGAATTTTCCCAAGAATCTAGAACTTTTAGCTGTCGACCGTTATCACTATCGTCGGTCTCACGCGTGGGTTGTGATTATAAATAACGCACCTTGGAGTGTAAAGCCCCGAATTACATATACGGATGTGAATGGAGATGTCGTAGAAGCCCCTCCCTCCGGAGTATTCATAGAGCCCTCAACGGGATTTATATGTGAAGCAGGCTGTAAGCAATACATTTTAGTTGACACTGTCTGGAACCAGTATAATTACTACGTTAATAAGCAAAATTACCAGCGCGTCTGTGATTTGCGTTGGGACTTACGCGATATTAATGATTGGGAACACATGCTACCAGGCGAGCCACCTGAAATGCGCACTTACAAAGCTTCATCAGATGAGAACATAACAGATGGCGATACTGATGTAAATGATGAAAAGCATTTAGATGCTATTTGTAACTGGGTAAGCAGGCTTCACATCGGCTTCGCGGACTACGAACAACGTTTTCCAGGCTCTGGAAAAATAGTTCAATACAAGGGAGCTTTACACGAACGCTTTTCTCCATATTCGCAACGCGACGGCAAGGTAATGCAATTGACTTTGTATAATGATAATATATGCACCGATCCAAGAGTCCGCTACGAATATTATAAGAACCGGTTTGACCTAATGGAAGAGTTGAAGTATACCTATGAAACCGACCACTTCGAGGAGCTGTTTACTAAAGGTCGAAATGATAGTCTAAAATGTTAGTAAAGTCTTCATGCAATTGAATATAAATTTTCCTTACTTAAATAAGAACAATATGTATTATATTTTTATTTAGCAATCGAGTATTTTTCGGATACTTCACTACCCAGAAGATTAAGTTTCTGTTCGAGCTCCAGATTAGACTCATTGGATTCAATCGATTTGAACCCAGGATTGATAATATTACATTATAAGGACCAAGCTGACAGGTGCTGGTACAGGGAGTTTCAATTTAAGCCAAATGGTGGCGTTCTCAAAGTAAGTGATCTCGTTTTTCAGCAAATTTCCCAAATATTTACAGCTAGAGTCACCAAATTAGGCTTGTAGCATCTATAATACCATATGCAGATAAAGTATATTTCATTTTATAGCTCGTTTTCCTTCGACCAGTTGCTATAAATCAAATAAATAAATAACGAGAAAGAAGGGCGAAGATTTAATAGCCTTGCAGACCCAACCTTTTCATAATGCTCATAGTGCTTTGCCCGTATCTAAAAAGCACAGGGAAAATTGTAAATGACGAGTATGGTTAAAATATCTTGAAAAACAAGGAAGTTTTCTGTTTGGAACCTAACCAACCTAATTTTCGACCGATCTTTACTATGGCAGCTATATGATATACATACATAGTAGTCCGATGTAAATAAAATTTTGCATAAATGGAGGGAGCAAAGTAAAACTAATAAATGACGAGTTTGGTGAAGATATCAAAAAAAAATGTTTACTTGCAGCAATTTAATTTTAGACCGATCGTTCCAGTGGCAGCTATATGATAAAGTGGTCCGATGTTGATAGGATTTTGCATATATATGAAGAGCTTAGTAAAACTAATAAATGTCGAGTTTGATCAAGATATCTTAAAAAACAAAAAAATTTTCCATACAACTTAATTTTTGGCCGATCGTTCCTATGGCAGCTATATGATAAAGTGGTCCGATGTTGATAGTATTTTGCATATATATGAAGAGCATAGTAAAACTAATAAATGCCGAGTTTGGTCAAGTAAACAAAATGTTTTTCATACAAGAACCTACTTTTCAACCGATCGTTCTTACTGCAGCTATATGATAAAGTGGTCCGATCCAGCTGGTTTTGACGTATCTACTGCGTGCAACAGAAAGAGTCACTTCTGCAAAGTTTCATAAAGATAGGTTTAAACCTGAGAGACTAGTTCGCATAGAAACAGTCAGACGGTCCGACGTACATGGCTATACCGACTTGGCTGTTGATACTGATCAAGAATATATATACTTTATGGGGTCTGAGATACCTCCTTCTATGCGTTACACATTTCACGACAAAAATATAATACCCTCTGCACGGGTATAAAAACTAACTACAAATTTAAGCCACAATTGACTTTGTTATTGTCTTTTTGAGGATATACGAGGATATACTATAGCACAATAAGATCTACGCTAAAAATTACATCCAGTTCGGTTAAGAAACATAGTTATTAATAAAAGTTTTATTATATTGGCTGACCACTTGTATCAACAGCATTGCAATTGCGATTGTATTGTTTTCTGTGCTGCTATTTTAATTCGTTTTTTTCTCATTAAGAATTAATAAATGGTGTGGCTGTTGGGTAGAGGCGGCTGCAAGTAGTGCGGTCAGTTGCGAGTTTGAACCCTGCTCCCGACTAGAATGTCTTACTTGTTTTTTTTTAGAAAGTCGTAGAAAAGTTTCATCGCTCTGACGAAGATGATATAGGAACAAGTGACATTGCCAGCCGAACATTCTTGTTTCATCAAAACAAAATAATACTAAAATTTCACTACACATTTGGAGCACTAACTGCCACCACAGTTGAATTCACGAAACCGCCGAAACCAGATTATGGCAAAGAATTGATTTACGACGAGAAGCTAACCAAAATATATAGGGTAAATTTTTACATATATACTGTGTGCCTATATGCTCAGATTATTTTAAATTTATTTATTCAGGCGAATCCCTTAGATCCGATACGTACTAATCTAGAGCTATATAAATTATTGCTGGAACAACTTCAGTCAGAGGATCGCATAAGGAAACAGTTTGAAAAAATCCAGGATGATATCAGCAATATTTTTGATCAACGCAGAATGGAAAAGATGGAACCTAAACTAAAGTTCGGTTTATTTGACCCACTTCGCAATGGAGCTGCACGTGCAATTAGAATGCAACAGGTTTTTTACTTGGAATTATTAAATGTTTACTTATGTGATTCGACTTTACTTGCAGTTTAAAGAAGAACTAGAGCAGAAGCGCGAAATTGCCAGTAAGCCAGCAGACTTTTTAGCTCCATATTTGGTTCCATACAAACTTCAGGAGGAACTGACTCAAGATCAATCCGTGGGTGCCTACCATGCTTGCTTAAATGATTTGAAAACTCGATTTGTTACTCTTCTCAATAATTTACAACGACAATATGAAGACGTAAGCACTATTAATATCTATACCTATGAATTTGGATCGTACATCTCTTTTTAAATGAACAGTTGACCAGCGAGGCGAAGTCTTTAAATCGTTTCTTAAACAAGTTCGAGAATCAATTTGACAACTTTGATTATAATCGGCTTGTACAGCAGGCTAAAGACTTAGAACTCAGGAAACGTATGGTGCAGCAGCGGTTAACTCTGACTCATCAAGAATCTCAGAAAAAGTATGAATGGGTTAAAGCTTCATTGCAAAAAGACCCTCGATTAGATTTAAAAATGGAAGAAAAGAAAACCTCTGATGAATAAAAATCGTAAATAAAAATGATTAATGGTATGGTAAAAGTTTAGAATTTAAATGCTCTCCTTCGGCACGCTAAATATTTGTTTTATTCTTGTAATCATTTGCCTTACGGTTTACAGATATGTAAATGCTGAGTTTAATGAAAAGGTCTTGGAAAATATAATATTTTGCCATACAAAATCGACCGATTCTTTTTATAGTGATATATAATAAACATAAACATATAATATAATAAACACATATTGCACATATATGACCAGCATAGTTTAAATATTTAATGCCGTCGGTATTCAAGATATTATAGCAATATCAAGTCGGCTGCTGATGCTGAACAACAATATATATACTAAATGGTGCGTTCTGTTATGCGTTACCCATTTTATAAACAAATTATAAAACATCCACAAGAGTATTAAAAGTGGCAGTTGAATTGCAAACGTACAATCTAATTACATTTTTTGGCATCAAGTAAAAAGGCTCTATTTGAGAGCTAAGAAATCCCGTAACATACATTCTGTTTATATATTTTTCATTGGTCACTTTAGCTATATCCGTTTGTATTTATATAAACTTCTGTTTTTTGAGCAAATCACTTAGGCTTTAAGAAATAGTCACCAAACTTAACATGTAGCTTGCAGATTAGTATAAACAAGTCAAGTAAATTTTTTTTTTAAAGCTATCGTCACCTTCCGCCACCATTACATAGCTATAAATCAAATAAATACATTGACAATATACGAAAACTCTTTAGCACATTAGGATCAACTGCTGATCAAAATCGGTTAGGAAACACAGAAGTTATTGAACAAAATGTTTGCTTATATTGACATGTGTTTGCTGCAGCTAGCACAAATTGCAAGAATTTCTGAATACATGTACACACCCAGATTCATGCGCGTCTTTATTGAATACTATAAACAGCATTGAAGTGGCGATTATAGATACGGTAGCAAGAAGTGCGGAAGGTTACGGGTTCGAGTCCTATTAAGGGACCACTTTTTAAAATATTTTTTTCGTAGCGCGAGTTGCATTTGATGTTGGGTAGAAGAGAGAACAGGGTATGGAGCCTCTGTAATCAAGGATAATACACGTTTTGGCGTACCTTTGCCTATCGTTTCTGTGTTAAATGCGTAAAGTTCCTTCTTCTTCCACTTCCTGAGAAGCTCCATTCTGTCTGATATTGAGAAAGGCAGAAAAGCTCAGAATCGATTAATGGTAAACTTGACCCTCGCTTCGCTAGGATATCGGAACCTAATCGTACTATTCGGTTCATGTGCTCATAGCACATTTAGCTGCTGAAAACAGTCACTTATAAGCTAAGATGCGATCGCGAAAGATTTCAGCGCTAGATAGATGATTACGGATCTCTGTGCTGCTGTAGACAGGCAAAATAGCCTTGTGAGAGGATCTAAGACAGTACTGGCCGGATTAATTGATAACTCTTTGTCGTGATACTTTGTTAGCTCGTTGCATTCGATCTGGTCTACGCATACCGTCCCTTGCGAGGATGGGATTGAGGTCACAGCCTTGATCTGTAGATCTGATTCTACACCTAAGCATTTATAGAATCCATCTCGTGATGTGCCTTTTCTGTTGAAGACTTCATGTCGAATGCACCAGATGTGTCAATGAGGGCTCGCAGTAAGCTCTGATGAGCACTAATGCCTTCTCGTGTGTAGTCGTAAGGCCATGTTTAGCAGGTCATGCTCAGCTAATTTACCAGCTTGGTACGGTTGTTGTTACCTGTAAAGGGAATATTGTGTAGGCAAATCTGCCTATGGGTTGGTCAAGAACGATCTAAGACGGATTGGTCTCTATAGCTTATTCATTTTGGGCATTTTATTTCTTGCATTCGGAATAAACACAACTTTCAGCTTGGCCCATGTGCATAGTATATTGTGAATGTTCAATCATAGTCGGAACTACCTAATGCATTTCATGCCTTAAAATGTAAGACCGCTATAGTCTGCTCGACTTTAAAATCCCCTGTATCTCTCCGTCAATTATTCTTTTGGTTTTTGTTTTTGTTTTTGTTTATCAAAATATCTTAGCTAAATCTCGACATTCATTAGTTTCACTGTGGTCCCTACCTATTTGCAAAATTTTATCAACATCGGTTAGCTATATCATATAGCGCCATAGGAACGATCGGTCCAAAATTAATTACTTTAATGGACAACTTTATATACCCACTGAACCCGCTATCACCACATAGCTATAAATCAAGTTATTTGTAATTTGTATCTCCCACTAATTGTATTGCCCATTAACTTAAGGCACAATTTAAATGCAATTGTCATAGTACAATAATATCTACTGCTGAAATTTATTTATTTAAGAAAATGTGTTTTGGGCAACTAGCGCAAATTGCAAAAATTTCTGTATACATGTACACACACAGTTTCATGCGCGGGCTTATTGAATTCTATCAACAGGGCATAGCGCGAGTTGGGTTTGGTGTTGGTAGAAGAAGGAAGGGTTCAGGGTATTCCCTAGTCGGGAGCTCCCGACTAGAGCTTCTTACTTTTTTGTTTATCAAGATATCTTACCGAAAATCGCCATTTATAAGTTTTACAATCTCGCTACATTTATGCAAAATCTTATCACCATCGGACTTCTATATCATATAGCTGCCATAGGAACGATCGGTAGAAAAGTTGGTGATTAATTAGTAATTTGAATAATTTGCTATTAAAATAACCAACAGCTTAATCTTATGCATCATTTGAAAATGTGTTTGTACATAATTATATTATTTAATAATAAATATTTAATGAAAAATAATATTGAATTTATAATTTATAAAGGAGAACAACATTAACGTACATGAGCTTAACGTAGAGTAAACCAAGTCAACACCCTGGAAATATGGCGTTCAGATATAGACGCGAATGAACTTAGAATTGTGCGCGGTTCCGAATACTTGAACATACCATAAGTAGGGGTTGAAAGTAAGTTAAAGTGGATTTTAAAATGCGAATGCCAATTTCATGGTCTTGCATCACAGCAGCGACGCGGGCAGCGTTAAGTCATACCCGAGTGTGGGGGAAATTCGTTTCAAAAGTGACCGTCTGAAAATTGGACAAAGTGGCTGCCGCGGCCGTGTGTGGGTTCAAGGCATACAATAAGGCGCACAAACATAGCCGGAGGCAGTAACAACAACATCATATACACCCATACTCACATATACACTCTCTAGCTCGTCACATAAGCACATGTGCGAGCGACCACCCGAGCCGGACTCCTGTCCATTTTGGCGCTATAACCAAACCACCCACCGTCTACCGCCCTCCCAGAAACACTGTCGTCTACGTCCTACGCACACTTCCAAGCCAACTTACTTACATATATGATGCCAGTGTCCGTCCATCCCCCATCGGCGGCGTCTAAATTGCGTTTGTCCCTTGAAAGAATCGTCCTAAGATGAAAGTGCTGTCCCTTGTCCGCCAACCGTCCGTTAGCAACGCTGAAAATTTGCTCGTGGCATGAACACATGTGGCGTTATTTCGTCGCAGATTTTTGTTCGCCAACTGGACAAGGATATTGTATACACTGCAATCGTTTTTTTTTTTATCCGACCCAGTTCTTTGTACCATTCAAAACAAAAAGTAAAACAGCCTTCTTCAGTGTGGTGAAAACATACTTCCATTAAATGGATTAAATTAAAATAAAAAACTGTATAAGATATTTTTTAAATATTTTTTAATGGTCATATTCAAATTTAAAAAAATTTTCTATTCATAATCCTTTTGAAACTGATACTTTAAGACTTGTAACAATATAAAAAAAAAATTTTTAATGTAAAAATATAATTTTGTAAGAACTTACATACATATATAGATGGCAATAAAGATTTCGATTTTTAATTTTAATCATGCGTTTACAAATCGAAATAAAGGATTACTTAAAATATTTAAAGTAGTGAAATATTTTTAAATCTGTAGATTACTTTAACGATAGAGAAACTCCTCTGATGCAGTATGGCTGAATACTTTAAACTAAAAATCGGATGCTCATGTTTCTTTCAGTGTAATTCGAAAGTACTCACTCCACGCGTCTCCCATAGCGGCAGATATTCGTGCTTCCTTTGGCGAGCCGTGGGCCACGGTGAGGCCTTTGTCGTTTTTAATGCTATGGCCCGGGTAGTGTCCAGCTTGCCGTAAGTACAGTTGTGCAAATACACTTCTAGCGGACAGCATCGCGGCCCAAGAATTTGTATTTTATCAGCATCGTGCGCGTCGCGTAGTCAAGGACTTCCAATATTTACGCGAAATACACACGTATACAACATACATATGTGTGCACATATGTATATATATATATATATATATATATGACACAAACATACATACAAATATATATATATATAAATATACATATATATATATATACATATATATATATATATACATATATATATATGAGTCTAATGTGCATGTGTTTGTTGAAGCAAATGGGATATGTGACGTGGTGGGGAGGGGAGGGTTTCGCAGGCCTCTTTGGATATGATGTGAATGTGTGCGTGTTTTTGTGTATGGGGTGTGGGAGTGGGGTGGACAAGTAAGGCTGAGGGTTATTGTACGATCCTTTCATTTTAGTCCTAAATATCCTTCTTCCAATATTTCAAACGTGCCTCGTGACGCGACCGTTTTGTAGGATGAGTGGGTCGAAGGCGGCCCTTTGTGGGCACAGACTTTGTCACCAGTGCCGTCGTTGTCGCCGTCGTAGTCTGCGTTGCTTCTCCTGTTTCTGTTCTTGTTATTGTTGCTGCTGCCGTCGCTGCTGACGTGTTGTCCTCGCGTCACGGCGCGCAGTTTAACGGTGGACAGACGAGAGCTCACCAGGGCTTACGGGTACTATGCTCTGTTGTGGACATGCGGGGCTGAAACCGGGGTCAGCTTTTATCACGGCATTTATTTTTCTATTCCACTTATAATATATGCCAGAAACAGGATACACACCCACATGGGCATATATTGGATATTTATTTTGTATTCGAATGCGCGGCATCGGGCACCGAGTGTCACAAGCGTTGGCGGTG